GATACTCTTCATAAAGAATGGTAACCTTCTATAATCAATGGATATTCTTCATAGAGATTGGTAACCTTCTATAATCAATAGATACTCTTCATAGAGATTGGTAACCTTCTATAATCAATAGATACTCTTCATAGAGATTGGTAACCTTCTATAATCAATAGATACTCTTCATAGAGAATGGTAACCTTCTATAAGCAATAGATACTCTACATAGAAAATGGTAAACTTTCTAATCAATAGATACTCTTCATAGAAAATGGTAAACTTTCTAATCAATAGATACTCTTCATAGAGAATGGTAACCTTCTATAATCAATAGATACTCTTCATAAAGAATGGTAAACTTTCTAATCAGTAGATACTCTTCATAGAAAATGGTAAACTTTCTAATCAATAGATACTCTTCATAGAGAATGGTAACCTTCTATAATCAATAGATACTCTCTCATAGAGAATGGTAACCTTCTATAATCAATAGATACTCTTCATAGAGAATGGTAACCTTCTATAATCAATAGATATTCTTCATAGAGAAGATACTCTTCATAGAGAATGGTAAACTTTTTTAATGTGAAGAGTATTTATTGATTAAAGAAGTTTATCATTCTCTATGAAGAGTATTTATTGATTAAAGAAGTTTATCATTCTCTATGAAGAATATCTATTGATTAAAGAAGTTTATCATTCTCTATGAAGAATATCTATTGATTAAAGAAGTTTATCATTCTCTATGAAGAATATCTATTGATTAAAGAAGTTTATCATTCTCTATGAAGAGTATTTATTCTTAATGAGTATGTTAACCTATGGTCAACATTGAGCTATTTAATGAGTATGTTTATCTATGGACAGTTTTCAAAATCTCTTATCTGTGTTTACTTTTATTCATTATTTCTAAGTTGAATATTATTGTTAAATTTCCGAAGAAAACGGGAGAGCTTGTTTTGAAATCGTTTATGATGTTAACCAAGATAATTTGCGTCCTTTTTATGTATTCTATGCTGCTAGTGGGGTGATTTTCAGAAAATTATGGGAGACAGAACAAAGTAACATAATTTAATTCCCCTTCTCATAGTAGATGTATATAAATAAATAAAAGTAGTTTCATAATGAAGAAAATTACTAAGTACACCAAATAATTCGATAGATATGAAGACAATTTACTATGAGGAATATCTATTGATTAAAGAAGTTTATCATTCTCTATGAAGAGTATCTATTGATTAAAGAAGTTTATCATTCTCTATGAAGAGTATCTATTGATTAAAGAAGTTTATCATTCTCTATGAAGAGTATTTATTGATTAAAGAAGTTTATCATTCTCTGGCTTAACAACCAACAAAAGAGTCTATCAACTGTGCTGTCAAATACAACAAAAGAGTCAGGTTTATATTCTGATGAATCTCATATATATGTTTACGGATGGTACAATGTAAGTCAAGATTATGCATTGAGGTACATAATGAGTATGTTTACCGATGGTCAACATTGAGCTACTTAATAAGTATGTTTACCGATGGTCAACATTGAGCTACTTTTCACCCTTTTAAAAAACTTCTAACAACGAAACATTTTTATTCAGAGGGTTGTTTATAAACAAACGGTTAGTTTGAACCGTTTACTATAACAACCGAACACTAATCATGCTAATGTTTAAGGGTGGGCACGATATAATATTTTTGTCAACGGTGAGAATATAATCACACCATGTTGGTTATTTTCAGTTTGCTTATACGAGAAACTTGTGTCATTTCAATAGGATAAAAACGTCTGGTTATGAAAAAATCTCTCATCTTGGCTCAGTGGTAAGTCTGAAGTCTTTTAAAGCTAAAAAGCGGATTTCAATACCCGGAGTGGACACAGATTAGATAGCCCATTGTGTAGTTTTGTTGTGAATAAGCAGCTTTGAAATCACAAAATCGCTAATAGGATTGGAATCCCACTCAACCTCAATTTTCACTTCTTCAAACAACACTTAACTTCAGAGGCATGTGTGCCTCACTTGTAATTTCTCCTGTTTCACATTGGTTGTCTCGCAATACCTAAGACTGGGCGTGGCCGAGTGGTTAGCATGCCAGGACTGTGAATTCGAAGAACGTTGGTTCGCAGCCCGTTGCATGATAAGATTGATGACTAAATCCCACTTTTTGATAACACAAGAGTAGCCCTTGACTTAGTGAAGGGTGCTGTTGGATTCCCTCTAGTATAACGTAGCCATTATTTGTTAATTTCTTTGACATATAAAAAATAAAACACTATTCCAACATAAATTAATTAAAAGTCAAGTAATTTCTAGATCTTATATAAACTAGCGAAAAATCTGACGCGGGTTCTATGAGTAAATAAGCGGTAAACTCTAGGACTTTGAAGTGCGACAGGAATGAGCGAATGTTTCAACTTACTGATCATGTGAAAAATTAATTTATATACATGTGCTGTTAAAATTAGGGGTAAGGCAAAAAAAACTCGTTTGACCTGCTGGATCCAAATTGTGTAAAAACCACTTTTTTATGGGTTAGCTTTAGAAACATGTGAAAAACTTTCATTAAACATGGGGGTCCATTCAAGTATTTACAAAATGTTTTTATAATAAATAACTGACAAAATCTGACTGCTGCGTGTATATGGTATTTCAATAATTCATATTTCATTGGAGTTTGTCTGTCTCTTTGAATTATAATTATCTGCTAAGGGAGATAGATTTTCAAAACACGATTTCTTCATTATCACAAATTGCTGTATTAATGTGTGTATTTTTTCTATGGCCATGAAGTTTTTGTACACAGTGATTTCACAGGCATTAAAGCCTTCTCTTGACCCACGCATTATTTCTATATGCCACAAACTAAAACTTAATTTTTTTAGCTGAATTAGGATTTGCTCTTTGACTTATGGTATTTCAACAGATCAATCAATACTTTTTCTACACAAAAATTGTTTCTTGGAAAAAATAATTTATTGGTCGTTTATCTTCGTCTTTAAATTAGAATTAAAATCTGTTAGGGAGGCAATATTTTCAAATAATGTCCTCTTTACTATCAAACGTATGTTAAATGAATCGTTTTAAAATATTCAACTCTTGGCTATTTGTAATTATATGGATTTTTATAAAAGTACTTTATAATTTCATTATATCTTTCTTGGTAAACGTTTTACCAAATTTCAAGTGTTGTACATTTTTAGTATTTGTCTTAAATATATATATATGTGTGTGTGTTTAAAGGTTTCTTGTGAAATTTTACAGTTTTTGTAATTAACCCTTACTTTTTAACAAACTAACACGGTTTTAAGTTTATTATTTTAGATCTTAATACACTGAGAATAGTCGTTGGAGCTACGAAACCAGTTAATTGCTTCACACAAAATAATTTTAAAGAAATAGAATTACGATTTAAATTTTTTTTCTATATTACTATTCTCATAATGAATTTCTCAATTTTAGTATATATGCGTAAATATAAAGTAAAATACAACAGATCTCAAACTTTGAAAATTAAACAGTCAATTTTTATGTGTACTAAAAGAAACTAAATCGAACATACTGCTGTTTCTTTTCCCAGTTATAAACCATTCTAATGATCGCGTTTCACTAACTGTTCTGAAAGAGTAATTATCAGACTGTGCGTTGTGGGAGCGTTTCGAAGTGAAAGAAAAAATGCATTTACAAAATAAGAGTATCTGGTAAAAAAGAAGACACTTTTGTCTCTGAGAAACATCATGTTTCAAGAAATAATTCCTGTCTTAAAATCGTCGTTCTTCATAGAAAATGTTATTTAATTTCAAAATTGTCGTTTTTTCCAAAAGAATAAAAATATTAATGATGCTGAAACTAAAGAACGCAGTACAAGTTATATTGAACACGGAAGAATGTATACAAGCGTTTACAGTGTTGCTTTTAGTGCTAATAATACTGAAGCATGCCATGCAGGTTATACTGTACGCTGAACAATGTATTCAAGCGTTGACAATGTTGCTTTTAGTGTTGCTGATGCTAAAGCATGTCATACAGGTTATTTTGTACACTGAACAATGTATTCAAGCGTTGACAATGTTGCTTTTAGTGTTGCTGATGCTAAAGCATGCCATACAGGTTATTTTGTACACTGAACAATGCATACAAGCGTTGACAGTGTTTCTTTTACTGTTGATAATACTGAAGCATGCCATACAGGTTATATTGTACACTGAACAATGTATACAAGTGTTGACTGTGTTGCTTTTAGTGTTGATCATACTGAAGCATGCCATACAGGTTATATTGTTTACCACAAGCACTACTCAATACATTTAGCAAAATGAATCTTGTTTCTTTCTTATTGATGTATTCGTTGATGAAAGTCTTTACGAAAGCTAAATCATACATCATTTCCCGCCTGAGGTCGCTATCATTTACTCACCTGGCAAACAGGCTATTTCAGAATGCAGTAGGTCGGGATCCACCTGGCTGATACAATGTGGCTTAGAAAGTGTGTTGTCATGATAGCCATCGTCGGGGTCCTCCTCTTTAAAAGCGTTTGCTGGATGTCGTTCTGTTGGCTCTTTATTTGGCGACGGCAGGGAAGTGACTACGGGAGAGTCGTCTTGTAAAGATAAAGAATTGAGTTAGGGTTAACATGTAATGGAGTACAAAAGCGTCAGAGTTGTAACAAAAACTTTTAGACGTGCTGTATCTTAAAAGAAACGAGAAAGCTAAAGCAGCTGAAGTACACATTTATAATGACACTTAGTTCATAGCAGCTCCACTGCATCAGTCCATCACGTATATATAACAAGAGTGTATCAGGCAGGCGGTAGCACTGCCAATGTAGGGATGACCCGATTGTTCATCGAAATGGTATTTTAAATATCTCTTCAGTGGATCACCAGAACTTTTCAAATAGTGTTTCCTTTTATAACAATATCTATGTACTGTCTGAGTCACAGGTTCTGGCAATGTCTGTAAATATCATAGCAAAAAGTTTGAATTTATCGTTCTTCTTTCTTCTGCGTCTTTTTTATTACATGATAACTCGAAATCCAAAATAATGATGTCAAACAATTTCACTGAGGTGACATAGTTTCAAACGGCGTATCCGCTTTTATAAGTATTATTAATAACTAGTAGTCATTTAAAAAAAATCATAATTCTAGTCTAAACGATGTTATCATTAACCCTTGAAGTTAATTTTCTTACAGAAATTTGGCGTTCCTTTAAAAACCTTAAGTACAGGTGAAACAGGAATTACCAACCAACAATAGACAAACAATGAATATTACAGTTGAAACCTCACTGTATTTAGAACTTGGTTATAAATACAACCATCCTATGTCTATTGAAGCACTGCATTAAAAAACAAGCAAACAAGTAAAGAAAAAACTTAAAAAAAGGAAGTAAATGTAGAAATATCAATCCTTCAAAAATAATGCAAACAAGATCGTAGGGATTGGATTTGCATCATCCCTACATAACAGCGCAGGCATGAATTAACATATAGCAATATATATATATATATATAT